GGCCGGCGGGGGCGACGGCCGTGCAGCGCGCCCCTGGGTGCTGGCGGCTGGGGTGACCCATGGTTTCTTCCAGCTGGAGGCCCGCACACCACTTCCCCAAGGGACGGTAAGGAATGTTCGCTGTCGCACCAACTTAGGGACTCGAGCCCCGTAGTCTGCCTGGGAGCCTGGACAGGGGCAGGCGGGCATCCAGGGTCCGCGAGGCCCCGTGTGTGGGTCAGCTCTTGGGAGTGAGGGGCTCGGGGCCAGTGTGGGAGGCTGGGAGCCCATGCTGGGCAGAAGGTGCCTCCCCCAGGTGCCTCCATTCTGTCCACCCATCCCCCTCTCCAGGACGGCAGTTCCTGGGGCCAGAACCCATCTTTAGGCACCAGGGGCAGGGCAGCGGGAGGGAGCCGCTGGCTGGCCACGCAAGCTCACATTCCCTGAGTGTCCAGCCTCCTGCGTGGGTGCCTGGTCACGCGGCGAGGTCCCCAGTGGCTAGCGGGCGTCCCTGTCTGTGGGGGCCTGGCAACCTGCTCCTTCAGTGAGCACAGCCGGGCGGCCACCTACCCGCTATGTGGCTGGACAGGGCCCCCGCAGGAGCCAACAGCAGGGGCGGCCAGAGGCAGGATGCAGGCAGCTCGTCCTGTCCCTTTGCTGTGGGCGGGCACACAAGTGCAGATGGCCCGGTACCCAGCCCTAACAGAGGCCGGCACCCGTGCAGCGTGGGGGTGCACACGCCCCTCTGAGGTGGACCCAGGGGCGGGAGTCGTTGAGGACAAGGCCAGCAGGTACCCAGTGTCCTGTGAGGGGGACATGTGGCCCAGAGGGCATCCTGCCCCCGTGGGGGCTGAGTGAAGGAGAGCAGGTACCTGACCACACCTCCCCAGCTTTAGGCCCTAACTGGGTGGCTGGGCCTCCCTGCTGGCTCCCATCCCCGCTGCCCATGGCCCCCCGGGTCTGCTGACAATCTCTCGCCCACAGGGGCACAAGCCCACGTGGAGGGGGACCCGCCTCCTGCAGGGGTGTGGCGCCCAGGTGGGAGGGCCCATTGGGCTGACAGAGCGCAGGGGCCCACCCCACACACTGTCCACCTGGTCTGCAGGACAACGAGGTGGCGGCCTTGCAGCCCCCCCTTGTGCAGATGCACGAGGGAAACCCCCACCCGAGGTGGGGGCTCCCCCACTCCACTGTGCGGCCCTGGCGCGCACACGACATCCTGGCCAGCCCCCCGCAGCCGCCCGACCGTCAGCTGTACCCCGGAGCCCCGCACCGTGGCGCCTACGCGCCCCTGAGGCCGGCCCGCCCCAGCAGCTGGCCCGCCCACACCCACCACGACTTCCAGCCCGCGGTGAGTGCCCCCGCGGGCGCCCCGGGCCGCGGGGCGGGTATGGGCAGGTCCTGTGGCTGCCTGCGCCGAGGTCAGTGCTGCTGGGGGTGGCAGCCCGGCCCGCCCTCCTGAGCCCGTGCCCAGCCAGCCGACCAGGCTTGAGGGGCCGACTTCCGGCGTGGCTGAGCCCGGAGCCTGCCAGGTGCGCAGACCCCCAGCGGGCTGGACTGACCATCGGGCCCAGGGCACAAGAGGCAGGCTAACACCTGTCCGGCGGGCACTCAGCCTGCAGGGCCAGCGAGTGCCTGTCGCCCTCTGCGGACTTGGCAGGCGGCTGCGGACTCGGGTGTGGCCGTCTGTGTGGGGGCGCCGAGGTGAGGGCAGGGCTGGGCGCCCCGGACAGCGGAGGTGACTGGCTCACCGTCCCTGCAGCTGCACCTCGTGGCGCTCAACAGCCCGCAGTCGGGAGGCCTGCGAGGCATCCGCGGCGCGGACTTCCAGTGCTTCCAGCAGGCGCGCGCCGTGGGGCTGGCGGGCACCTTCCGTGCCTTCCTGTCCTCGCGGCTGCAGGACCTCTACAGCATCGTGCGGCGCGCGGACCGCGGGGCCGTGCCCATCGTCAACCTCCAGGTGGGAGGCGCCATGCCGGGGGCGGGGCCCAGCGGCAACCTCCGGGTGGGCGGGGCCAAGCCGGGGGCGGGGCCCAGCGGCAACCTCCGGGTGGGCGGGCAGGGTGCAGGTCGAAGCTTGCAGGGTGCTGAGGACAGAGCCCCGGGCGGCCGGGTGGCCCTGGGCCATGCGGGCTGCCGCGGGCGGGGCGGTGGGGCCTGGGAGCCGAAGCCAAGCCGCCCGGTGCCCCGTGCCCCTGCGCAGGACGAGACGCTGTTCCCCAGCTGGGAGGCGCTGTTCGCGGGCGCCCAGGGCCAGCTGAAGCCCGGGGCGCGCATCCTTTCTTTCGACGGCAGAGACGTCCTGCAGCACCCGGCCTGGTACGTCCGCGGGTGCGGGGGTGGCACCTGGGGTAGGGCCCCGCTGGCCCTGCAGGCCCTGAGCGACGGGCGGCTGCCCGGCGCCGCTCACCCACTTCAAGGGCTCCCCGGCCCCTTGACCTCGAAGGTACAGGCACCGGCAATGGCCGCCTGGACGGGCCTGAGCACCAGGCGCTTTGGGAGCAGCCCGTCACCAGCATGTTCGTTCTCTGTCGGTCTCAGCAGAGCCTGAACGGGAAGCCCCTGCCCAGGGCTGCCCACTGCCCAGAGGCCCAGGGTGCAGGCGCAGCGCCCCGCGCTCACTGAGACGCCAGTCCCCGGCGGCGGGTGGGCGGCTGCCAACTGCCCACGCGGCCTGGGGCTGCCTGGCTGGAGCCCGTGACACAGACCCGCCCCACAGGCCCCAGAAGAGTGTGTGGCACGGCTCGGACCCCAGCGGGCGCCGGCTGACCGACAGCTACTGCGAGGCCTGGCGGACGGAGGGGGCGGGGGCCACGGGCCAGGCGTCGCCGCTGCTGGCCGGCAGGCTGCTGGAGCAGAGGCCCACCAGCTGCCACAGCCCGCTCGTCGTGCTGTGCATCGAGAACAGCCTCGTGACCGCCGCCTCCCAGTAGCCGCGCCCCGGGAGCCCAGGGCGGGGCGGGCCCGGCAAACGCCGCAGACAGTTCACACTTCACATAACCCTCCAATAAAAAGCCAAAGAGTGTATTTTTTAAAAAGGCTAAAAGTGCCGCTGCCAAGAC